GTGTGTGTGTGTGTGTGTGTGTGTGTGTGCGTGTGTGTGTGCGGGGGGGGGGGGTTGTGGGGCAGGAGGTTGAGGTTGCTTGACAACCAATGGCGCCCCAGGACTGCCACTGCTCTGAAGCGGCGCTCGACCCTGCATCGGCGGCGCCGGTACAACGCGCAGTCCAACCTACTTGTGGGGCTGCACCCACCACCGGCAGCCCGCCTCGCACCTGCACCTGTTGCCTCGCTCAACAACCCCGCCGTGCACCCTACCTTACTGCTCCCCCCTCCTCCCGCCCAGGCATCAAGCGCTGCCCCGAGTGCGTCCCCCTGTGGCGCGCCGCCGCGCGCGTCGAGGAGGCCGCCGGCGCCGTGGGCAAGGCGCGCGCGCTGCTGGAGCAGGCGCGGCAGCGCATCCCCAAGCGCGACGATCTGGCGGAAGCGCGCGCGGAGCTCTGGCTGGCCGCGATACGCACGGAGCAGCGCGCCGGCAGCAGCAAGGCGGGCGAGGCGCTGCTCGCCAAGGCGCTGCAGGAGCTGCCCGCGTCGGGCCGGCTGTGGGCCGAGGCGATTGGTGCGGCGCCGCGGCCGCAGCGCAAGTCGCGCAGCGCGGACGCGCTGAAGCGGTGCGACCAGGACCCCGCGGTCGTGTGCGCGGTGGCGCAGCTGTTCTGGTCGGACCGGAAGGTCGACAAGGCGCGCTCCTGGTTCAACCGTGCGGTGCTGCTGGCGCCCGAGGTGGGGGACTACTGGGGCCACTACTACAAGTTCGAGCTGCAGCACGGCACGCCCGAGAGCGCCGCCGACGTCGCGCGGCGCGCGGCGGACAAGGGGCCGCGGTACGGGGAGCGGTGGACGCGCGTCGCGAAGGACGTGAGGAACGCGCACCTGCCGGTGGAGGCGCTGCTGCGCAAGGTGGTGGTGGACATAGACACCCTGCCGCCGCCGTGAGCGCAGGGCAAAACCGCCTGCCCGGGCGCCCCCCGCTGTCGCCCCCGGGGCGTCCGCCTGCGCCTGCCTTGGAGCCTGTCCTGGAGGAGGCGAGACGGGGGTCGGCGGGGTTTGAGGTTTATCTTTGTGATGATTCTCCTGGTCATGAAGTGCACCCCTCAGCAGTTCCTTCTCCGCAGGTTGTACATTATGTGTGGCCGCTGCTTTTGACCTGGGCTTGCTGATGCTCAACCTTGACCCTTGGCGGACGTCGCCTCTTCTCCCAGGACGCGCCGCTGCGCTGCCCGCGTGTCCTCACACCTGACATTCAACCTTACCCCGTCAACCCCCGCCCTTTGGTCGGCCCCCTTGGCTGCACACTCGGCGCGTGCTCCGCAGCCTCGCGAAGGCGACAGCGGCAGGCTGTCGTCATTTGCACCCGTCCTGTCGCCTTGTTACGTCACCCGCTGGCTTCCCTTGTGTTGTGGTTCAGGCGTGCAAGCCCACCCATTCGCCGCCCCTTGCTGGCGCCCCCTTTCGTTCCAGTCCCGTCTGGTGCACTCTGCACCCACGCCCCTGTCTCCGGACGTCGCTGTTTCAACCGTGTAACTCTAGCAGAGTGAATTTCTGGAGGCAGGAGTGTTTCTGGCCCAGGGCAGGGCGCAGGGGCGGCGACTCGAATGGGCTGCGAGCCCCATCAGCCACAAGAAGGAGCAGCCGAAAGGTGAAAATGCGTGGCTGGGCGCGGCAGCTGCATCGCTGGACCGCGGCGATGCAACCAGGCGCCTCAACCGAGGACCGGCATCGGGCACCGCCCGCGTGCTCGACGTGCACGCCGGCACGCGCGAGAGATGAAGTGGGTGGACGCTGCTGTTGCCGGCAATTGAACGGGCACGGCGAGAGGTTGCGAATCGCAAAACAACGGGCTGCTTGGTAGCAGCAGCAATCAGATCATTATGGTGCGGGCGTGCTGGCATGTTTGAGCCCGGCACAAAGGAGGCCCGGGGCTGCGGGACCGCCCTGCCAGATTGCAGTACCTTGAATCATTTGTTGGTGTAAACAGATTGCCATGCCACATGCATACTGAGACCAAACCAACGCCCCTAGTGCCGCCTGGGAGGGGCCGCATGTGCCCCCTTGCTGCAGCTCTGGTGGTGACCATGCTAGCCGGCTCCCATGCTGCCGCCGCCGCTCTTCTCCGGCCCCTCCTCCGGCCGCTCCCCCCCATCCGCGCCCGCCTCTCCCCGTGAGGACAGGCCCCGCACGCACGCCCGCGCCGCCGCGACTGTCCCCGCCTCCCAGCTGCTGCGCGCCGCCGCCCAGGTGAACCGCACCACCGCCGCCAGCTCCGCGCGGCGCTCCTCCGCCACCAGCCGCTGCACGTGGCGCAGCGCCGCGGCCTGCGCTGACGGCGGCTCCCCCAGTGCCTCCTGGACTAGGTGTATCCCCTCCAGCGCACCTGCCGCCGCCGCGAGCAGGTCCCCCCAGGGCGAGGCCTCGCTCACAGCCGCAACCCCCGGCAGCTGCAGCCGCGGCCGAGGGGGCGCGGGCTGCCTGGCCGCGGGCGCGCCCGCCCCGCCGGCGACGGGGGCGGGCGCGCGGCGGGGGGGCGCCTGCTCCTGTCGATGGCGCTGGGCGTCGATGTGGCGGAATGCGTCACGCTGCCTCTGCTTCTTCAGGCGCCAGCGCTTGCGCTGCAGGCGCACGGCCTCGTCCTCCTGTTCCTGCTGCGCCTGCTCCTCCTGCTCCTGCTGCCGCCGCTCACGCCTCTCTTGTTGAGCTATTTTCACCCACGATAGCAGCTTCTGCCGCCGCGCCCGCTGCTGCTGCTGCTGCTGCTGTTGTGGCTTCTGCTCCCGCTGCTGTTGTTGCTGCTGTTGCGACGGCCCCCGTGGGTGCCAAGCCCCCTCATCGGAATCCTCTCCTCTTTCCTCCTGAGCCCACCACTGCCGGAGCCGCCCCACGGGCCAGCGCTGCACGCGCCGTGCGGACCGCGGCCGCCGCGGCACCTGCACAGTGCGTGGCGTCCAGGGGGCTCCCTCACCCGGCCGCCCGTGGCCCCCCTCCTCCTGCTGCTCCCGCCCCTGAACCGACGTCAGGCCCACAGCACCCGGCCCCGGCGACCCCAGCGCCTCTCGGTGCCGCGGCGCGACCGCCGTCGGCACGCGGCGCGCCAGCAGGGGACGAGGCACTGGCGCGCAACCCCTTGGGGCCAGTGCGGCCGGCGGGAGGGGCGGTGGCTGTGGCGCGGCGCCAAGCGGTGGAGCGGCGGCCGGGATGGCACCCAGAGAGGCGCCCAGCAGCAGCGCCGCTCTTAAGGCCTCGTCCGCCGCCCTTGCTTCCGCGATTGCCGCAGCGG